TTTTTTTTTTAGATATTTAAAACTGATCAGTGAGTATATCAATCGCTAATAAGATCTGTTGTTCAACTGTTTCAGTGCGGTTTTCCACTCTTTCCTCTTCATTTTGTCAAACGGGTCTCCTCTTCCAGCTACACTTAGGGAAATTTTATCTCACCAGCTAGTTAAAGGTGTATCAGACAATCAAATCAAGCTGTGTTCCGCCGAATGACTCATCATTTTTCGACAGTTGGTCTACAACGATTTCTGCGAATTGATCATAGTTAACTTGTTGCTGACAGAACTAACATTAGCATTTAAACTTTTTGCATCTAGAAACCGAGGAATAATATAACTTAGGCATTCTGGTATGAACAAAATTCAAATGTTCAAATTTTGTCATAGTTCTGAACACAGCGTTGTTTTCGGACAGGAAAAAAAATATGCACAAAAGCTCTATAATAGACCAGAAAATGAATCGGTTAGAAAATGGTGTGTTTACTTCATTACAGTTCATTCATCCAGAAAATTTTTCATGGTTAAACAAATGCTAAATTTTGATATAAAATCAACTTTAAAAAGATCTACCTGATTTTTTTTTCTGTTTGTTATACTGTTTATCACAGACTAATTTCAGCCGCTTTTTAGTGTTTATTTGAGGTAACTGATATAAAATTTAAAACCTATGGCATGGAACGAATAAATATAAATTGTAGGAAATTTTGTTGTTTTGTTGAACTCCAAAAAAATTTAGTTACAGTTTGAGCGATTTTTCTGTTAAACGTACAACACATTTCTTTTTTCATTTGACCAATAATTACCAATGCATACACAAAAAATTTTTGGGCTCATCTAAACCGATATGTTATACTGTTCAAATTTTTTGCCACCTCAGTGGTATTAAAGCGCATTGAATTTGACGTTGACTGAAGAAAAAAAATAAAGCTAAAACTGAAACAGGAGATAGGCAGCAGTCGACTTAACCACAGGCAAAAAGTAGCCGGCAACTGATTGTTACTGCCGATTTCGGTATCCTTTCTAATTTTCAAATTTTTTATAAGTATAAAAATTTTAGCTTCGACTAACAACCAATTTATTTTTGCTAACAAAACACTGTCACGTATTACAGGTAATTCTTGGTAAAAAAAAAAAGAAAAGTAAAAGTGAGAAAAAATGATTTCAAATAAAAACATCTGATTTGGACAACTAGTTTATTTTTACTGGCTGATACTGACAAGTTGTTTGATAAAAAAGGAAAAGTTCTTTCCATTCTATGAATTTTTTTTGTAGAACATCCGACTTTAAAATGGTCGTAAATGAAATTTGTAAAGTACAAAAAAAAAAAAAAAAAATTAAATAAATAAAGTAAGAAAATAAAATGCTTGTTAACTTCTGTAAAGTAACTGAAAAGGACATTTTAGTGTTGATTTTAATCTTATTGAAAGACCTATTGAATTGTACCGATACTGTTGCTTTGGTTTCAGAAACTACATTTTAAACATTCCTTGTTTTCTTAATTCAATAAAAAAAAACCGATAAATTATGATTTTAAGTTAATAAACAGCGCGGAAATCAAGAATGTTTATTGTTTTGGAATAGGGCATATTTTTACGTACATTTATTTGAAAAATTGTATTGTAGAAAAACTATCTTTAAAATTTTACGAGTATCATTTTAGACCTGCGCAAATGTTCAGTTTAAAGTGTTACAGTAAAGAATTTCAGCTTTATTCAAGCATTTTTCTACATTTTTCCTTATCTATACAATAGTCACATTAAATGCTAAAATTTTTTTTCCAATGTTCGGAAGATAAGCAATAAACATTCATTGCTGTAACTAAGAAAAGCGAGAAATTGTTTAAACCACCAAAAAATACCACATATAGCAGTGGCTTTTTCTTTGATTTAGTCAAAATACCTGTATACTGGTTGCGCACAAAATACCTGTAATCATTAAGAAAGTAAGTAAATCTACCAAGGCAGAATTGACAATATGGAAGAAAATGACATACAAAAACTCGACTTTTGAAAAAATTTTGTTAGAAAACCCGCATTACAAGCCGTTTACAACGGCAACAGACAGGAAAAAGTTTAATAAAAGAAAGAAGATCTTATTTTGGCGTAATGAAGGATGACGGTTTACTCAAATTCTCATCATTTGAGGTTGCAAAACTGCAGTACTTTTACATGTCCTATTTTACGATACTTCAGTTGCAAAAGGGTATCGTCGAAGAGGATGAGCTGAATTGTTTTTTGTTAGTAACCGGTTACTGATTTGCTTCGCTGTCTAACACCAGACTTTTTGGTGATATTTGTAGGCATTTGATACTTATGACAGAACTGCTATTTATACATCTGATATTTTCTGACTGTTGCTTAACACCTTAATTATAGATGCTATCGCGGGTAGCAATTATGATTCGACCATAGATTATTTTATCGCTGAGATCAACGGTTAAAGCCGATCATCTTTTGGATGTTTATTTATAATATCGCTGCAGCAGTATTACTGGTAACTACGATAGTTTAAAATTATGACTGGTTTACGGGTTAAGGTAGTTTTTTCTTTTGCAATGTCGTTAAACTTGTTTTCTGATTTTGCTGCTACTGTTATCCTGCTTTATTATGTTATTAATTCAAAAAAATTGTAGAATTAACTTTTACTTTTTGTCAAGAGTAAGTTTTTGCTTATCAACTGTGGAGGCAAAAGGAAAGGATAAAGAAAAAAAGCAATAAAACTAATGGCCAAAGTTTGTTTGTTAGTTATTTGAACAACAGCTAAAATTCTTTCTCAGGATCAGATGAAAAGTTAGTAAGTTATAACAAAAATGGGAAGAGATTTATTTCTGGAAAAAACAATTAAAAACAATTTTTTCTCATGTAAATGTAGAAAAAAGTGTTAATTAGTTTCTTTTTTCATTTTGCAATGTATGGTTAAAAAGAAAATTTTTTGTGTAAATAAGTTTGAAGCGACAGTATGGTTTATTGGTGAAATTAAAACCGTAACTTTTGTTAAACACTATTGTTGATTGATTTTGACACCGATTGTCATTTTTTTAGCTTTATTGGTTAACTAATTTTCTGATAAAAGTTTTGCAAGAAAAAAGTCATGAAAAAAAACAAAAGAAATATTTCTTATCTAAAATAAAGGGAAAAATTGAAGAAAAAACTACTATGTACCATTGGATAAACATGCCTCAACAGAAAAAACTTCAGTAACTGTTTCAGACCAATCGTGCAGATATAATTAAGTGTAGTAGAAAGCGTTTGAAAAACTTCTAAAACTGACATCAAATACTAAACTGTTCAAATTTATTTAAGCGTATTTGTGAAAAAAATGATAAAAAACAGCAACTGCTCTACACGTAGACATCTCAGATCAATTTGTATAATGCGCACCTCAATTTGTAGCATTATCAGCAACCATATACCCTATGCACTGCTCAACTTTAGTATAAATATTGAGAAAAAAAAAGAGAATTTAGGTAAAAAAAACTCTATTATTGATCCAAAGTTCGGTTAGTTTATTTTGCAATTCAGTAAACTGACTTTTGAATAGTTCTTTTGTAGAGGACAAAGTCTGAGAAAGTCTGAAGAAAGCTGCACAACCACACTACCTAGTCATATTTGAAACTAATCAGTTTTGCTTTCTCAGTTAACAATCAGTACAGTGAACAATAATACCTCTAATTGCAGGTTTCAGTAAAAAAAATATTGCTTTGTATAAGAAATGTAGATTATTAAAACACTTACTGAAAGTTACTAAAAATAATCATAGTAAATGCTTCATGTGTCAAATATAAGATTGTCAGTGCCAAATATTCGAACGGAAAAAAAAAACAGTCAGAAACACTGCATGATGCTTTAGATTTGTTTTGCAGATGTTGGTGATAATCCGCAGCAGCAAGTAAATTTTTTTGTTTTCCTTATATTATAACAGTTTTAAACGTGGTAAAATCCAGGTTCCAGTATCCAAGCTAAATGTATTGCAAGACGAGTGATGTACACTGTAGAAAAAAATGAGAAATTAATTCATTTATGTTAAGCTAAGAAAAAAAATGACAAAAAACCTAACAGATGTAAGAAAACTAATTAATTATCAATGTCACTAATTTTTTTCTCTGATAAAAGAAGAAGCAAAATGTTGTCGTTGCTTAAAACTGTTAGATATTTTTTTGTAAAGGAAATTCAAATCACATTTAAAAAATTTATAGCTCTTATTACTTTTACTTTTTTTAACCAAAAAAGTTGCGTAGAGATGGCAGATAGATTACTTTCGCAAAAAAAAGTTTATACAAATTATTTGAAGCCTTTTTTGTACTCTTCACATCATCTTTTTGCTAAATGACAGCAGAGTGGTCCAACTGCAACATTTCTTAAAAGAAAACAGGTTTTCATTTCTTTTTTTTTTCTTTGTAAAAACTCGTACACGGAAAAGTCATCTATTTTTTCCTGATGAGCAAGCTAAATGTTGCAAACGTATAAAAGGAATCCTACGAGTGTCCTTGAACACTCACAACACCAACATGCATGAGGCCCATGTGATTGTAGGTATTGCTGCATTCTGCAGCACTGCTGCAGTTCTGTCATGCATTATCTTCCTTCCATCCATGTATGCCACCGTTAATCAGGTTCGCTTATTTCTTCTGACTAAAATAAATGCCTGAAACTAAAAATATGTGTATTTGTAGCAGTTTCTTGTCAGTGAAGAGAGAAATGGAATAATGAGAGATCTCAAACAATTTTTTTAGAAAACAATCAGCTTTTCTTATTGGCAAAATTAGGACGTTACATTTATAGCTTCATGAAAAAGTCATAGACGGTGTGCAAGTTTTTCGTGTTGACACTGACTCAGCATGGTTAAAAATGATGGACATCCAAGTGGAACTGCTGCCGAAAAGCAAGCCTTTGGAAAATCCATTCAGAACCTTCATTCGTCACAAACGTGGAAATGGGCTTCCATCGTATTGTATCTGCGAACCTAAGAGAACCTGTCCACCAGGTCCTCCAGGGCCACCAGGAGATCCGGGGCCAGACGGACGTGAGTAATGCATATTCTTCACTGAAAGACACAGTCTATTTATAAGTTATCCAAAGTTTAGATTACAGAATTTAATTTGTAAGGTAAATACAGCAAATTTCAGCGCCTGGGCCTCCGGGACCTCCAGGACTAGACAACCACGACGTACCAGAATCTATCAAATGCAGCGGTGACACCAGCACC